GCGAGATAAACGACAGGTAAGAAAAGAAGAAAAAAAAACTGTTCCCTTCTTCTTCTTCTTCTTCTTCTTCTTCTCTCCTCCCTGCCTCCCCCTCATCTTCTTCTCGTTCCTCTTCTCTCCTCCTCCTCCTCTTCCGCCCATCTTCTCTCCTCCTCCTCCTCTTCTCTCCTCCTCCTCCCCCCCCGCACCCAGACAACCTGTCCCCCCCACAAACCAGATTTTTTATTGCAGATTTGGGGTCCTCTCGCCGAGCACAGAAGGACCCCGCTTTCAAAAAAAAAAAAAAAAAATTCTGGGCTGTTTTTTCTGCCCGCCCGGTTTGCCCGGGCGRCCCACCCGGCCCCGCCCGGCCGGGCGGCGTCCGTACTCAGGATATTCCGAATTTCTAAGTAACGGAAAATGCAACAGGAAATCGAAATTTTCGAAAAGAAGAATATTCCGGATTTTTAACAACGAAATTTCGAAATTTCAGAAGGAAAACTAAAAATGGAAATTTCAGATGTTGCGCTACAACAGAATAGCGAGAAAACAAAATCCAAGAAAAGAAAAAAAAAATCGATTTTTGGCAGTAAGGTCAAAATCGTGATTTTGGGGGCTAACTAGTGTGCTCTAATCAATCAATAAAGACTAATCAGCTACCTAGTCCCCGCACACGTGTCAGATCAGGTTGTCCTGATTCACGTGCGGCGTTCCGATACCAACTGTTACATGCCCAGATAGGCGATGTACATAATAACCAAGGATCCGCAATGTGATAAAAAGGACGGAATGGACAATGCAGTGCAAGTAGAATCTCAACAAGCAATGTGCATTCTGATACATACAAAATGGTGCTGAATAGCGCAGGGAAGACTTAGATACAAAGCCTGACCTGACCGGGACTGACCTCATTCACGTAGCACAAGGTAGTGAAGCAGAATGCTAGAATGCTAATGACTAGCCCAATCAATGTTTGAACGCAGACCAACATACATCGTGTCCATCACAAAGTGTGAAGGAGCCTGGCGCTGTACGCAGGAAGGAAGCGCCAGGTCCAGACATACACAGACGAAGAGGAGGGGATCAGACGAAGAGGAGAGGGAGAGATGGGAATGTCGTCAACACCAAGTCTTGTCACAAGTCCCAAATAATCCCTCATTGCAATGTCTGAAGTCCAAAAAGTCGGGTCTGGATCCAATGTCACCAAGCTCTCTCTCTCTTCTCTCGTAGTCTGCTGATGCAGTGAAGTCAGATGATGAGAGGGTGAGAGGGAGATGGTGGACTGAGAAGAGGAAGAAGAAGAACTCTCTCTCTCTGTTACGAGCCAGGTACTAACCTGTGAGGAAGAAGAAGAACTCTCTCTCTCTGTTACGAGCCAGGTACTAACCTGTGGAGTTGGCGCTGTGCTGCAGGTACCTCGAAGACGAAGCTGGAGCAACGGCGCTGCAGGTAGGTACCCAAGGTCTCCGCCCAATCTCTCTCTCTCTAGTGCTATCCTAGCTATGGCGCCCAGCGCTGGAGACTACAGCTACCTACTGCGCCCAGCGCTGAAGACTAAGGCTAACGCTACCACTACTCCTGCAGCGCTCCCTCCAGAGTGCTGCTGCCGAATCCTGAAGACTACTACTGCCTCCTGCCTCCCGTGAAGTGCATGGGAAGTCCCTATGTACTACCTCGGCCTGCCTCCTGACTGCCTGAAGGGCGAGCCAGGCCGAGGAGGCTGCTCTTGCCAATGCCGAAGTGTGCCAGGGGCTGGAGCTGCAGCCTCTGCTGAGGCTGGCGTGGGAACAGGCTAAGAATAGCCTGTTCCCGAAACCCTGGTTCGGTGCCTGAGTTTCAGGGCCGATCGTTCTGATGAACGACCAAAAATGGCCCTTTGTTTCAGGCTAAAAAGGCTATTGCCATTTTTAGTCTGAAACGACACAGGGACTGTACGCCCCTGTTTTCAGGCTTTCGGGCTGAACAGTCACGGGGCCTGTAGGCCCTGGTTTTCAGGCTTAAAGCCTGAAAAAGCCTAAATTTCAGGCTTTCAGCCTGAAGGACGCAGGGCCTGGAAAATGGCCCTCGTGTGCAGCCGCAGCATGTAACAAGCATGGAGAAGGGTGTTGAGGAAGTCGGAGATCAATTTGACAGCATTTCCCCACTCCCCATGGGGTCAGAATGATCGCCCAGATAAGAAGAAGCTAGGGGAACTTCAATCGGAATTTGTGAAAATAGAGACGTCAAATTGAGAGGCGAAACTAAGTAGGTGAGAAATAGAAGTATTAGCAGGAGATGCTGGTAGTGTTTTTTTTAGACTGATCATGGGAATGCAGTAAGGGTGATACGGCCTGTGAGGCTGCTGGAACGACCCTCCCTGCACCATGTCTTTCGTAGAGTCCTCCTGCTGCGTGACTGGGCGCTCCCAGTAAGCTTCCTGGCCAGCAGAAGCCCTCTGGGAAAGCAATGGGTTGGGGGGGGGTCGGATCGTAACAGCCCCCCCCCTTGAGTAGGTGACTCGTACCGCAAGGGCTGTGATGACTCTTCTTCAACACTGTTCTTCTTTGTACTCATGCTTGTCGGTGATAAGCAACTGGACTGATGCCCCCCTGAATAGAAGGGGCCATTGCCTTTGTCAGAAAAAAAGAAAAAAGAAAAGAAAAAGAAAAAAGGAGAGATGTCGAGAAAGTGCCAGGCGGCCCAGCTCGGTTCGTTGAGCACATAAGTGGTACACAGGAGGTCGTGGGTTCGATTTCCACCAGCATCTATTCGACTCCCCACGACCCCCTGTGTGGTGCACGTCGAGTTCACCAACAGAGAAAGTTGGCTTGTCCCTCCTGGCTGGTTGTGGAAAGTTGCTCTTCCTTTCCAGCCTACACCAGGTGTTAGGAGCTTGCAAGCTGCTCCCTGCACAGAGCAGAGGTCGGGTCAACCCATAACTCTCAGGACCGGCCAGCTTGTCTGCACATATATTCATTGAAAAATGCAACTGGACTAAGAAGTAAATAGGTAGGCAGGGGAAGCAGCATGGATTTGGAACAAAGTGCGCGACCTATGGACCATCCTCTTCTCATCACCTCCCCCGGACACAAACCCCCTGAACATCATGCTCTTATCTAACAGTACTAACAATCTCAAAGGCGGTAAGGAAATCTGGTTCCATTTACTCAGAAAGCTGGCCTTATGGGTAATCTGGAAGAGGAGATGCACCAAGACGATCGAAGGAACCAAGGTTACAAGAGAAGAAATGTGGGCTCTACTGCTGAGGATGACTAAAACAGAGATTCGATTCAGATGGAGAGAAGTGACATCGACAACGAAAGGCAGACGAGAAAGAATATCCACAAAGAGACAGAAGTTCATAAGAGACTGGCTTCTAACAGGGAAGGATAGCCACTGTGGTGGACAACAGAATGGTTTGGAAGAAGTGGCATAACACAAGGACAGGGACTCAGTGAAGAGCAAACTGAGATTATAATCTCAACAGTATAGACAACTCTCCTCTTTTCTTGCTTTACACGTATGATCTGACAGAGACACTGTAGACTCTGAGAGGAAAAGTGGTAGGG